AACCAGATATAAGACTAACTTTTAGACAAATTATCTTTTTTTTAAATTTAGGCATTGCAGGTAGGTAGAAAAGGATAAAGGTTAGGCATTTTGCCAACATGTACATGCTATTTTATTCTGTAAAAAGACAGTGTTTGGTCAGTGGTGTAAGATGGTTATGATAGGCCCCAATGCACGCTATTATGACATGCCTTAGTGCACGCTATCGTGCACATCGTCTTGTCATGTGATCAGAGACTTGACATTGGATAACATCAACATGCATATTATCCACCAATCATGGCATATCTATAACAAAAAATACCAAAGAAAATAAAAAATTATTATGTTAATTTAACAATTTTAATAGTTGATTTATAGTTATAGAACAAGCATATACTTTTGTTTTAGATGCTACTGACTGTTTTACAAAAAAATAAAAAAAATAAACATGACAGAGATGGGTTTGTCTTTTTCAAGGACATATATGGCAAATGGCACTGTTTTTAATTTAATGAGAGTTCTTGTTTGAACACAGGCATATTTCAAGGTGGCAATCAATCAACCAACACATTATTGGCGGGCCGTCTCTCTCTACGGGGCCCCTACCTCATGGGCCCCAGTGAAACCGCACTCCCTGCACTCTATATTTATGCCTGGGTTTGGTGGTAGGTCTGGTAGGATTTCAGAAATCAGAAATGTGGACATTCACACAGAAGAATTTTCAGTAAAAGAAATTAAAAGAAGGATAAATTAAATTATACAAATTGTATGTGGCAATTAAAACCTCACAAAGTCAAATTTAAGACTAATCACTTTTAAGGTTTGATATTTATGAAACTGATATCAAGACATTTTAAGCCCTTCTAAGAACCTGCAGACACCCTGATTTCACAATACATTAATACAGGAACTGATCATTAGAAAAATATATTTCTTCCTCATCAGCAGATCAGAAACAGTCTTACTGCTCCACCTTACCATTTTTGTTCTTCAGAGCTTTGATGATGTACTCGAACTTAAAACAAATCATAACATCACTGTATATGATCTCCTTTCAGCATGTATACTGACAACAAACTGATGAGATAAACGTTAATCCTAGCCTTAGCTAGCAAACTGGATAATCCCTAGACTGCTGTGAGGCCGTCAAGCTGTCTCGAGTGATGTGCAGTTTGAAATGCTGCCACTTGGCACTGTAAACATGCAGCACCTTATTCAGGCTGACACTCAGACTGCTCTGTGGCACTCCAGTATGGAGGAGGGTCCTCTTTAATGGATTCTTTTTGATCTGTGACAGCAAATAATCATTTTAAAGCTCCAATCATAAAATCAATCAATCACTACTCCAGTGGCGGAGCCAACAGTCACCCTAAAAAAATTGTTGGCCCCTCTGGTGAAAATAGCTGGAGGCTGACATTGCTGTGTCCAAGAGGCTGTGGCACTTTTACGTAAGCTGAAGATAGTGGTATCTTGTGAAACTAAACAACCCAAGGCGTCCACTAGTATCAGCAATGTTAGCATAGCTTGTCTGGAAGGAGGCTGAATAACACTCTAAAGTTAGGCTAAATTTTGATGAGGGAAAAACAGTCATAGCCATTTTCAAATGATTCCCATGAACTCTCACCTCAAAATACTGGTGAAAATAGGGTCATTGGGTACCCACGAGTCTCCTCTAAACTTAAGGTTTGTTCCCTGTAAATGTTTTTTTATTTTTTTACAATCAACATTCTTCAGAGTAAAGCTGCATATTTGTCTTCTTAAAGAAAAGGACAGCTGGCCCATGTAAAGACCAATGAATCACCTAACATGTATATACAGATACATGACACATTAAAACAGGATTGTTGTGGATAGTGTGTTGTTAGCTGTACCAGTTTCATGCACAACAGATCATTAGAAACATTAACTGTAAAATAACAGACCAAAATATATCAGTGTGATTCCTTTAGCCTCCATATTGATATATTTTCAAATAGCCAGCCCAAGATTTTCAGTGGCCCCATGACCACCCCTATATGAAATATTTCTGGTTGCACCACTGCACTACTCAGTTTGTTACAGTATAAACTTTCTCTAAACTGATGAGACTGACAGTGCTGAATTTAGATAAAGCTCCATGACTCTGAATGAAAAGGGACCTCTGTGACAGAGTCAGTCTGAGACTTTTTGGAACCCCTGACTCCCCACCAGCACCAAAGCCCTCTCTGGTGTCCCAGGACGTAAACTGGACAACATATGGCTGTACAACGGTCACTTAACTACACTGTAAAGAGAAACTATTTGTTTTAGCTTAAAAAAGTTAGTGTGCATGCAGTCCTAAATTCTAGGTTGACTGAACTTGAGAAGATAAGTTGGGAGTAGTTTTGTAATGATTCAAACTGTCTTTTCAAATAAAACAATAAACAGAACAGCAATCATCATTGATGAAACTCACAGAAAAAACATATTCAAAAAATAAACTTACTTGAGATAACTTAACATTCATTCAGTTTTGTTTTATTGTTAAGTAGAAATGTATACAGTTCACAAGAGATAACACTCCTTAGTTAAATACATAAATTATACATGAAAAATGAACAGAAAAGGTTCAAATGGAGTCCCTCTGCTTATAGCTCAGGCCTCTTATTTTAGTAACATAAAGAGAGGAAAATATCACATTTATTTTTTCATGAATAATAAAAGTTTCTTGTGTGATCTTTCTTCTAGATCTACCTGTCTCCAATTTCCCACACAGAGCTGATGTGACCCTTCACTGAGAAGATGAAGAATGAAGACTTCTTTCTGAGAATAAAAAACTAAAGTGAACTGACAAATATTTGTTCATATCTCAAAGAAGAGAGTGGCACTGCAACTAAAATCAAAACTGACAAATCTGTAGGTAAAAGTAAAGTACAGCATGTGTGGGTCCTCCTATTGTTATTGTTCTTATATTACTCATTTGCAAAGTGGCAGAAATTGCAGTCTTTAACATGACTTCATAAAAAATATACAGTGCAAGCATTTTAGCCTGTAAGTAACAGGCAGTGAACAAGGGGCTCATCTCAACTTAATGTTGGAAAACCCTTTTACACTAAGGCTTGACTGAGTTCCCAGAAGAAACAACAGCTCTTCTCTGAGAGAATAGATTACCAAACCAGTGCTGACCCTGCTGATGATAATTGATTTGCTTCAGCCAAATGATATATCCTACATCACAGTAAGCCTTAATTGTAGGGTCACTGTGGCAAAGGGTGGCCAATTGCAGGGTTCACAGAAATTATGTTTACACCGCAGTGCAGAGGTATAGTATAATAGTTCTTCATTTACAATAACACTTTTGAAAGTGAATATAGGATTTAAGGTAAGTGCTTTGCTTTTGCGTGCCGCCATGGATCACAAAAACACCAGTGGAAAGGCCAAACATGAGACTTTTTAAAAATGTATTTCTGTTTTTTTAGAATGGTAATACCTGGGTCTCGCTTTAAGAGCTGAGAAGCACTGTATTGGATATTGTTAGGATGGACCTGACAGCAGTAAAGGCGGCTGTAGGTGTTATATCAGAGTTGAGTAGCTTTGCAGCAACAGCAGCTGTTTGACGATAAGTGGAGGACAGGTGTCCTTTTTCTCTCCACCTGTAAGCATACATGAGATGTAACATGAGGGGTTGAGTTTCTGGGCCCTCTGAGGTGAATATATAGCACTGATGAACACACACGTGGAAATACAGGTGAAAGGTCACAGCAGGGTTGACTGAAATCACTATACAAATTTGTAAACCATTCTGTTTAATACAGAGGTATCTGAAATGGTAATATCTGTGGGTGTAGCGGGCACTGCAAGGATAAAGTTTTTTTTCCACCATTAGGTGTACACATTGGGGCTTGGGGATCCTCTGCAAGAGTTTTGAGCATCATACACCTAATGACCTGCATTATGGTGGCATTATGGTCATTTTATGCACCAATATGTACCTTTTCGGTACCAAGTTAATGATGTACGTCTTACATTTTGTCAAAATAAAATGCCTCTGCTACTTTTATCTTTCCAGGAACTGTTCTCTATTTCTTATTTTTTAATTCAATCTTTTTTTTTTTTTTTTTTTTTTTACCCTCCCCTAAGCTACAAATATTTTTCCTTGGGCCTCCCTGAGTGACTGGTGGAAAACGCATGACCCTCCCTCCACCATAAATTAGTTATTAGATTTTTAAAACTCCCTCTTTGATGTTTGACAGATAAAAGTTAAATGTTGAGGATGAACTCCTGGAGTTAAAAAAAAAACCTCAGCTTTTCACTCTTGCCTTGCATGCTGGTTAGTTTGTACAAACGCTTTATTTTAGGCCAAATTTTAAATGAGAAGTACTTTAAAGTGATTTAGATGAAATATCACTATTTTAAGCTCAGATTTGCTTTTTATCTGACTGAAGCGTTTGTCAAAGATGATGTGTCCAAGGATTGTCAGAAATTTTTAAATCCAACAATAATTTATGTTTTTATAGTTTCTGGCTATGATAAATGGTGTCATTTTTTGTTTTGTTTTGTTTTTTTTTTTTAAAAAAACATGCTTTTCAGACCTATATATATATATTTATATATATGTATACATACATACATTATATATATCCATATCTATATATATATATATATATATATATATATATATTCTCTTAATTGAATTTACAAAATATACAATATAAAATGTCATGTACAATGATAACTCCGTCAATAATCCTGTCTATTATCTTGTAATGATCATAAACATGTAGTTGTAGCTTTACAGAAGTTAGAAACAAAGTCAGTTCATAAACTCCTTGCCATGGTTTTAGGCAACCGCATTCAAACAATACAAAAACATGACGATTAATATAATAACTCAATATATTCTTTGAAGTGTGATGAGCCCGAGCAGATGAGTGTATGAGCTGTGTCTCGCTGTGCCTTCATACTGTATATTCCCAGCACTGACGTGTTGTTAGCAGATGGAGCAGGGGGGCTGATCTCTGCCTCCAGAGGTCATTCTCACTACAGTTGCCACTTGTTGCCAAAGCAGCTCGGGGCTCCACCATTCAACGCCAAACACATTTCAACTATTTATTCAGCCAACTATCGAGACCTACATGTCTGGATGTTGAATGCGGAGCGTTCGCAGGACTGAAGGAAGACTCTTTTGATCCGGTTGTTAATATTTCGGCGCATCTGACGGACAGAAGCATGGTTGATAACGCAAGTATAGCAACTAAATCTGCTTTGGTAAGCGTCCAGGCTTTATTTCTATTGGATTATTAGACTTAAACTACTTTACACTTAAGCTTTTCCTCTTTTTCAGATGCACTTAACATTTTATTAATAATGTTACCCTCTTATAAACTTTGTATTTAGACAGTTTAACAGTGTTTAAGCAATTTAGTGAAAGTTTGTCACGTTCGCTTGTGGCAGTGTGAAGGAATTAATCCTAAACTTTACACTAAAAGTCAGACAGCAAAACTGTTTAGTTGTGTGCATTCGGTGTGTGTGGAGCATGTGTTTTAATCTTATAAAGTGCCGGTGATGATCATGACACGACCATCCTCTCGCCCCCTCGCAGCAAGGCTCTTTCTCGTCCGCCAGCAGCCTTCCCCTCCAGGCTCCCTCCGCCTCCTCTCACAGCGCGTTCCCCGGCGCACAAACACACCAGCCCGCCAGCGGCGGCATGAAGCTCGAAGCGGTCATGGAGAACCTGCAGCGGCAGCAGGCAGCACGGCTGGCCCTGGAGGAGAAGCTCCGGCAGGCAGAGACAGAGAAAGACCTCCGCTCCATGGTGGAGTCCCAGATACACCAACAAGCTCTGGCTTTCCGCCACTACCAAGCGGCGATGCGCGGCGCACTGGCCGCCGGAGTTGCCAACTCTTCCCCGCTCCCACATATGGATGTCCGCAGGGCTGACAAGGACGGGAATTCCTCCAGACCGGGGAGCGACGACAAGGAGCGTGACGAGGAGGGGGATGACATGGACGAGCAGGAGATCATGGATGAAGAGGAGGAGGGCGAAGACGATGTCGGGTTGAACCAGTACCAGCACCGACAGTCCTCGCTCCAGGGAGCCTGTCTCCCTCCGAAGAGTACCCCGATGCATCTCATGTCCAGAGTCCCGGCGGCATTCGCTCCGGCCCGCCGCGCAGACTCCCCATCAGAGCACCCTCAGCCCCAGCACCACGAGTGGACCTATGAGGAGCAGTTCAAACAGGTAAGACAGCAGTGACCTGCTGGACACTTCATTATCTGTAAAGTCACTTTCTCTACAGTCTCTGTGTGAGCTCTTAGATATAAGCTGCATCTCTGGGGTTCTCCTCATTTAATTCATCAGTCAGAAACTCATATAATTAGTTGTCATGTAAATATAAAAGATCCATTCTAAAGATGGAAACTTTTTTAGCTTTTTGAACATAATAAATGGTTGATAAAATTACTTGACATTGCTGTATTGCACTTTCTAAAAGAAGAAATATGTTCGATGCTCTAAGTCACACTCCACAACCTTTTAGTGTCAGTTAGCACACAACAACTGTATTTGCAGAAATGTAAATTTTAATCTTATTTTTATCAAATGAAGATGCTGTTGTATAAAGTTAAAAATCATCAGGTATTAGTTTCTGTTGGACTGAATGTGGGTCCGAATGAGGCTTTCTAACAAGGCACAATTTATAAAGGGGTACAATCTGTAACTTATATCTGTATCAGTAATAAAAAATGACTGATATGTTATAGATCAATTATGAATAAGAGTAACTTTTACAGTGACAAGTTGTGATAATTCTTTTTGACAGATTGAACACTTACCTTCTGGAAAAGAGCTGGATCTAAATCCAGATCCTCTGCAGATTATTAGCAACTTTTCCAGCATTATTTCATGAGTTACAAGCATTTCAAACTGTATTATTACCCACTAGATAGTGTAATAACTCAGCTACAAACCATGGATAAGAAAACATTCCTGGTTGCCAGGTGGTTAAAATGCCTTGGCTTGTTGTTCCTATCAGTGGCTTATATCTGGAAAGCTTTAGTTATTTATTTGTTAACCATTAATAATGCCATTATAAACCTTTACAAAAGGTCCCTTATTTGCTCTTTTGTTGTGTTAGCAGCTCATTAATGACAGTCAGTTATTTGATTGATATACAGTTGTCTGTGTATTTCCAGGCTGCAGCAGGCAGATCTATACTCTCTGAGCGATTGTGGATGCTCCATGTCATCTTTTATTTATGATGGATCATTTACAGACTTCCCTAAATGTGATGTGTACATTAGTGACTGCATTAGCGCTGCACATTAAAGCAACCCAATGCATGGAAATGCAATTTAAATAGGGGGCCGAAACCAATAGCCTCAGTATAGAGACAATTATGTGTGGAGTATGGTGAGATGAGCCTGTGAGGATAATGCTTGCCATCCAATTTTTTGTTGTCTTTTCACATCTGTAATTCTTAAATGGGGTATTTAGAATTATTCTTTTTATAGCTTCTGTGTGTCAGCTTTATTGTCAGTTTGCTTGATATCTGCCATTGCAGGATGTGATGTAAGCGTTCAAGTTGTTAGATCCTACGAAAAATGGAGAAGATTCAGAGGATGGATTTAAAATCTATACACCTATTATTGTCATTATAAATCCTTTACATTTGGCTGAAAACTCTTTTGTTTTCATCAAGACAAGTTTCCCGTAGCTGAACATGCGTGCTTCATATACCATCAGGCGATACGCTTCAAAGATTCCTCAGGATGTGCAGTTATTGTGGGGGTCATTTGTATGTAGTCATTCAGTGTAATGGTCATGGGACAATAAAAGGATGCTTATGGCTGCTAGGCAGACAGAGTGGAGCCAGCATACTAAGCATGCTCAAAGCTGCAAAACAAAACCACATTTGAAGGCAGTAAATGCATCTTTGAAAATAGGAACAAGATGTGGGCTAAATATAAAAAGACCTCAGTGAGGCGGAGAAGATTTAATCTGATCTGAAGCAAATGGGACCAGCCGGTGTTTACAGTAGCTCCTAAATCACTTCTGAAGAGCCCAGGAACAACATGGGAGGCAATTCTGACAAAATAGTACACACACACACACACACTGTATAAATATCTATCTATCTATCTATCTATCTATCGATCTATCGATCTATCTATCTATATATATATATATATATATATTGGAGGGGGGTGAGAGGGGGATTTTTACTTTTATTTTTATTTACAGAATGTGTATAAACACACGTGTGTATATGTAATTTTGTGAAAATTTTATGATAATTGTATAGCTGTTTTTTGTTTTTGTTTTTTTAAAGTTAACTACGACTCAAAGAAAGAATGATGGCAGGCACCTGGTAAAACTTATTTTAGCTTTAAATGACTCAGCAGGAGTCAATGCACAGCAGCAGAATCTATAGAGATGAGAGTGTAAAACATAAAAGAAATTCCTGGTGACAGAAAAAGATGCTGAGCGGAGGTGACAGAAAGACCTGAGGCAGAGAGAGAGAGAGCGAAAGAGAGGGAGAGAGATACAGGAGCTGTTGCGTGTAGTTTTGGCAGCGGCTCAGGAAATGCAGGAAACTGGATCTGGTGGTATTCCAGCCTGGCTCACACCCAAAAATGCTGGGATCTCCCTGTCTGGCTGTGTGTGTAGCTGGGAGTTGGCTCGGTGCCAAATTATTACGAAACAGAAACAAAAGTGCGTGCTGTTACACACTCGGCCATGCTTCCTCTCTCTCTCACACACACACACATTATTTACCATGGTGTTGGATATGTGAGCCCGCACGCATTTGCAGAAACCGACATGGTGGTAAACTGGAGGAGAGTAAACTGTACTGTTTAATATCAATTTATATCTGCATTCAAAAAGCTGGATTTTTTTGTTAAATTCCCAAAAATAACCAATGACAGAAAAACAAAACAATATAAAAATGTTTATCTTAGGCTTTTGTGTTTTGTGTTTGTTTTTTCTTTACATTTACAGCATTTGTCTGCTGTGTAAAGGCCACTATTGAATATACACACTTTGGGCTTGCTTTTAGTGTTGTCAAAGTTCTGCAGCTGAATGTGCAGATGGATCTGAAACGTCCGCCATGCTTTACCGCAGAACAATAATGTAAGTCCCACAACAATTAAAGCAGACGTGATGTTCAGGGTGGTGGATTACTCACTGTGGTTTCAAGTCTCTGCAAGTTGATTTTCAAAGTGTGCTGGAACAGAAAACACCATCTGGTAGGAAGGAAAACACAATGTTATGCTTCCCAAAATGTGAAGCACTAATCCAAAACGTGTGTGTAGTAGTAGAAAATCTTATAAAACCTCCAAAAACTGTGATATGAGGGAGTGTCTTATTTGTAAAATGTTGAATTGATGCACTGAAAGATGAAAGGATCTTTAGTAAACTAGAAGTGCAGTCAGAGGAACCTTTCTAGGCTGCATAAACTTCTTTTTTTGTGGATAACAGAATGTGTTTAGCATCTGGATCTTCTGGTGGTCTTAGAAGGACAAAACACTGAGGCAATAGTGCAAACCTAGTTACCACAACACATTCAAGTACAAGGGGAAAAAGACAAACACTGAATGAAATGTGCCAAATCCAAGAATGTATCAAAAAAGCAACATTAAAATAAAACTAGATGAAATTACCAGGAGTTTGTGAATTTGGAATTGTATGCCACTTCCTTAAAATACAATATATGCAGCTTTGCCAGGGGCAAAATGATTTGAATCCTGACCATATTTCTGTCGTTTTTCCTGGTGTTTACAAAGTCCACCAACTGTCCTCAAGAGAATGACAAAAATGTACTGGCTGACAGGAAGAAATATGAGAACATTTGGTGAATTTAGATTTTTTTTTTTCTCATGATGTTTGTTTTGTGTTTTGACCCACCATAAGATCTGCATTAGAGAGCACATTCTGATGGACAATCCTAGGATGTATGTGCTTGATTTTCTTTGTTTAAGTCAGTGCAGCTTGAAAAAATGCCTGAGAATATTCTGATGTCTTTGTACCAGACTCTCATCTGCAGAATGTCACACATTTTTGGAAGTTAGTGTGTAAACCACACTACAAGAGAAACCTTTTTCTGTACAAATCAAATCTGTACAAATCTGGAAATAACAATACAAATGAACTTGCGTCAAGAATTTTCCACAGCCAAGTGTCCTTTTCTAAATTATAGTGCAGTGTTTGTACTCTGTGTTGTCTCAAGATACAGTCTGCCATTTGTAGAAGCTTCCTGAAATAATGTTTGAGGGCTGAATATGAGACTAAATTACCTTAAGTGTATTTGCGGTCAACATGTTGCACACTTAAAACACTGAAATTCAAAGCAGCTCCTGCTTTGTGTCGTTGCTCTAAACCCTCACGGACATACACAGAAACTGATTCTGAACCATTAGACAGGACATTTCCCTGAGTGAGTAATGTCAGGTAATGAACATGTCAGTGTATGGAGCCACTCCTTTTTGTGGATTGTACCTCTTCCAGCTTGTTTTTCCAACAACTATAGAAAAGGGGAGGAGGAGGAGGAGGAACTCCAGCTGTAGCGGTGTATGATTTCACTCCCTTCCCCCTGCAACTCAAATCATCCACTCTGCAAAAATATTCATCTTCACATGTCGCATGGAACACTACTAAGGCACATTTTCTTAAAACAATGATAAATCTAAATGTGTGATGTTTTGACACTTGTTTGAGAATACTGACACTGGTTTCTGAAATTCATGAAATAAGTTGTTTTGTAGGGAAATCAGGAAAATAAATCTCACCAATGTGGCAGATTTATTTGGTTGTTTCAATAAAGTCAGATTGTAAGAACTCAAATAACAGTTAAAATGACAGCTTGAGGTATTTTTTTGCTGTGGGACTCATGCTTTTGTATGAAATTATAGCCCAACACTGACAGCTCTGGACAGTTTTTGAATGCATGCTGGACCATTTTATATTTTTGGATGATCTTTCCTTCTTTTCCAATTAGAACATGACTAATACTGATACTGCACCTACTGGTGTTGATATTTGAGTAATAACAATAACAATATTTGGCCTTTGATTCATTGTCTGACAATAATTTTTTGATGAGGATCCTCTAAATTTGGTCATTAAAGAATTGTAAGCCAGCTATATGCTAAGTGTGACATTTTACAGCATAAAAATCAACTTGTCAGCATTATCTGTGGACAAACTGTCACAGAGACACTGTTTCTAAACAACCTCAAACA